TTGTCCCTTCTCGTCGCTTCTTGTCACTTCTTGTCACTTCTCGGCACTTCTTGTCACTGTTTGTCACTGTTTTTCACTGTTTGTCACTTCTCGTCACTTCTTGGCACTTCTTGTCACTTCTCGGCACTTCTTGTCACTGTTTTTCACTCTTTGTCACTTCTCGTCACTTCTTGGCACTTCTTGTCACTTCTCGTCACTTCTTGGCACTTCTTGTCACTGTTTGTCCCTGTTTTTCACTGTTTGTCACTTCTCGTCACTTCTTGGCACTTCTTGTCACTGTTTCACTGTTGTCACTTCTCGTCACTGTTTTTCACTCTTTGTCACTTCTCGTCACTTCTTGGCACTTCTTGTCACTTCTCGTCACTTCTTGGCACTTCTTGTCACTGTTTGTCCCTGTTTTTCACTGTTTGTCACTTCTCGTCACTTCTTGGCACTTCTTTTCACTGTTTCACTGTTGTCACTGTTTGTCACTGTTTGTCACTTCTCGTCACTTCTTGGCACTTCTTGTCACTGTTTGTCACTGTTTGTCACTTCTCGTCACTTCTTGGCACTTCTTGTCACTGTTTGTCCCTGTTTTTCACTGTTTGTCACTTCTCGTCACTTCTTGACACTTCTTGTCACTGTTTCACTGTTGTCACTGTTTGTCACTGTTTGTCACTTCTCGTCACTTCTTGGCACTTCTTGTCACTGTTTGTCACTGTTTGTCACTTCTCGTCACTTCTTGGCACTTCTTGTCACTGTTTCACTGTTGTCACTGTTTGTCACTGTTTTTCACTGTTTGTCACTTCTCGTCACTTCTTGTCACTGTTTGTCACTGTTTTTCACTGTTTGTCACTTCTCGTCACTTCTTGGCACTTCTTGTCACTTCTCGTCACTTCTTGGCACTTCTTGTCACTGTTTCACTGTTGTCACTTCTCGTCACTTCTTGGCACTTCTTGTCACTTCTCGTCACTTCTTGGCACTTCTTGTCACTGTTTGTCACTGTTTTTCACTGTTTGTCACTTCTCGTCACTTCTTGGCACTTCTTGTCACTGTTTCACTGTTGTCACTTCTCGTCACTTCTTGGCACTTCTTGTCACTGTTTGTCCACTGTTTCTCACTGTTTGTCACTTCTCGTCACTTCTTGGCACTTCTTGTCACTGTTTCACTGTTATCACTTCTCGTCACTTCTTGTTACTTCTTGTCACTGTTTGTCACTGTTTTTAACTGTTTGTCACTTCTCGTCACTTCTTGGCACTTCTTGTCACTGTTTGTCACTGTTGTCACTTCTCGTCACTTCTTGGCACTACTTGTCACTGTTTGTCACTGTTTGTCACTGTTTGTCACTTCTTGGCACTTCTTGTCACTGTTTCTCACTGTTTGTCACTTCTCGTCACTTCTTGGCACTTCTTGTCACTGTTTGCCACTGTTTGTCACTTCTCGTCACTTCTTGGCACTTCTTGTCACTGTTTTACTGTTTGTCACTTCTCGTCACTTCTTGGCACTTCTTGTCACTGTTTGTCACTGTTTGTCACTTCTCGTCACTTCTTGGCACTTCTTGTCACTGTTTGTCACTGTTTGTCACTTCTCGTCACTTCTTGTCACTTCTTGTCACTGTTGTCACTGTTTGTCACTTCTCGTCACTTCTTGGCACTTATTGTCCACTGTTTGTCACTGTTTTCACTGTTTGTCACTTCTCGTCACTGTTTGTCACTTTTGTCACTGTTTGTCACTGTTTGTCACTGTTTGTCATTCTCGTCACTTCTTGTCACTGTTTCACTTTTGTCACTTCTCGTCACTTGCATTTTGTCACTGTTTGTCACTGTTGTCACTTCTCGTCACTTCTTGGCATTCTCGTCACTGTCACTGGCACTTCTTGTCACTGTTTGTCACTGTTTGTCACTTCTTCGTCACTTTTGGCACTTCTTGTCACTGTTTGTCACTTGTCACTTCTCGGCACTTCTTGTCACTGTTTGTCACTGTTTGTCACTTCTCGTCACTTCTTGGCACTTCTTGTCACTTCACTCTCGTCACTTCACTTTGTCACCGTTTGTCACTGTTTTTCACTGTTTGTCACTTCTCGTCACTTCTTGGCACTTCTTGTCACTTCTCGGCACTTCTTGCACTGTCACTTGTTTCACTGTTGTTCTCGTCACTTCTTGGCACTTCTTGTCACTTCTCGGCACTTCTTGTCACTGTTGTCACTGTTTTTCACTGTTTGTCACTTCTCGTCACTTCTTGGCACTTCTTGTCACTGTTTGTCACTGTTTGCACTTCATCACTTCTCGTCACTTTTGTCACTGTTTGTCACTGTTTGTCACTTCTCGTCACTTCTTGGTGGCACTTCTTGTCACTGTTTGTCACTGTCACTGTTTGTCACTGTTGTCACTTTGTCACTTCTTCTTCTTGGCACTTCTTGTCACTGTTTGTCACTGTTTGTCACTTCTCGTCACTTCTTGGCACTTCTTGTCACTTCTCGGCACTTCTTGTCACTGTTTGTCACTGTTTTTCACTGTTTGTCACTTCTCGTCACTTCTTGGCACTTCTTGTCACTGTTTGTCACTGTTTGTCACTTCTCGTCACTTCTTGGCACTTCTTGTCACTGTTTGTCACTGTTTGTCACTTCTCGTCACTTCTTGGCACTTCTTGTCACTGTTTGTCACCGTTTGTCACTTCTCGTCACTTCTTGGCACTTCTCTGCACTTCTTGTCACTGTTTGTCACTGTTTGTCACTTCTCGTCACTTCTCGTCACTGTTTGTCACTGTTTGTCACTGTTTGTCACTTCTCGTCACTTCTTGGCACTTCTTGTCACTGCTTGTCACTGTTTGTCACTTCTCGTCACTTCTCGTCACTTCTTGGCACTTCTTGTCACTGTTTGTCACTGTTTGTCACTTCTCATCACTTCTCGTCACTTCTTGGCACTTCTTGTCACTGTTTGTCACTGTTTGTCACTTCTCGTCACTTCTTGGCACTTCTTGTCACTGTTTGTCACTGTTTGTCACTTCTCATCACTTCTCGTTACTTCTTGGCACTTCTTGTCACTGTTTGTCACTGTTTGTCACTTCTCGTCACTTCTTGGCACTTCTTGTCACTGTTTCACTGTTTGTCACTTCTCATCACTTCTCGTCACTTCTTGGCACTTCTTGTCACTGTTTGCCACTGTTTGTCACTTCTCGTCACTTCTTGGCACTTCTTGTCACTGTTTGTCACTGTTTGTCACTTCTCATCACTTCTCGTCACTTCTTGGCACTTCTTGTCACTGTTTGTCACTGTTTGTCACTTCTCGTCACTTCTTGGCACTTCTTGTCACTGTTTGTCACTGTGTGTCACTTCTCGTCACTTCTTGGCACTTCTTGTCATTTCTTGTCACTGTTTGTCACTGTTTGTCACTTCTCGTCACTTCTTGGCACTTCTTGTCACTGTTTGTCAATTCTTGTCACTTATCGTCACTTTTTTTCACTTCGAGGCTTGGCTGAACGTTGGAATTTGGATCTTCGTAGCCATGTGTAGCCTTGATCAGCCGTTTGAAGTGGCCGCTTCGTTCCTTGTGATGGGGGAAATCCAGTGAAACATGTGTCATGTGATTTGGCGGTTTAGGTGATGCCAGCGAATAAACACGCGCTACACGTCACAATGATGTCAATGTGAGTGCTTTCCCTCGCGGTTGCTAAACTTGAATCTGGCAAGGCTGACGAGACAGCGAGACCAATCTCCTGGAGGACGGACTTGTCACATGTCACAAACCGGGACGGGCCCTACCGATGCAGATGTCTTCATCGTGTTTCCAATGTGTTTCCAATGCACATTCTGTGTCGTCATGGTGAAGGATGTGAAGGCCTCCGTTTATTTACCAACAAAACTGGCAGAGGCCCTGGACATCAGCAGGGTTTCACCGCATGCTGATTAGAATCTGAATCAACTCTTTTCGATTTTTTCGGGTAGATCCACATTCCGCACAAATAGAACGTGGAACTCCCGTCTCTGAACTTGCTCAAGGTGTTACTAATTTCACGAGCTTGGCGTGTTCTTTCATGTTTTTTCTTGAGTGGTTCTGATTATTGGCTCTACTGGGTCCCAGGGTTAAGTCGTTGCATTGCAGTTTTGTCGTAGCGGACCAGCGTGTGCCTTGCAGAACTGCATGTTCTAAAGTTTTATTTCGTGATAATATATATATATAATTATATATATATGTTGAACAGATTCTGATATTTTGGTCTTGGGTAAGTGTGTGCGTTTGCGGTCCGTTTCTTCCGTATTGTTTGGTCATGCATTTTGGAAAGTTAGAGTTGGTGCTAGATTGCTGCTGGACTGCTGCTGGGCTGCTGAGCGAGTGCTACTAAGCTGTTCTCAGAAACAGTTTGTTACATTTTGTCACTGGATTGCTGCAGGCTGGACTGCTCGAAACTGCTGACAGATTGCTGGTAGATTTTCATCATGCTGCTGCAACATTGCTGCTGGCCTGCTCCTAGATAGACTGTTGCTGGGCTGGTGCTAAGCTGCCGCTGAGCTGCTGCTAAATGTTTGCTGGGTGTCACAATGTGCAGCGTGCAAACTGCTGCTTGGCTGCTGCCCCACTGCTTGGGAGCTGGCGTTGCCAAAGCTACTTTCTGACCTCGTTTGGTACCTCGTTTGGTACCTCGTTTTGAGCTCGTTGTACAGTTGCTACATGTTGTAGCCCCTTTTACTGACCGAGTCGCTGTGAGCAGGAAAAAGTAGCAGCGCTTGAGGGTTTTCGGGGTCACTGTGCCCGTTGCACTGTTTGTTGTTTGGTTGGTCGCTGGGTCATGTCTTGCTTGCTGTTTGAGTGTGTAGTTTGCTTGTTGATTTGCCCGTTCATGTTTGGGTCGGCTGCCTGAATAGCTGGTCGTTTCTCAGCTGGGGTGGCGTTGTCGTTGGGTCAACTGGTGTAGCCGCAAAAGCCTTTCAGCATGGTCGAACCAGCGTCAGTGTCTCTGTCATGTTGTGCAGAGCGCTCCCATGCGCCTTCTCGGCCCAAGTATACACCGTTTCTCGACGATTCCACCGGTGTGAGACAACGCTCGTGTGCTGTGTGCCTGTGGCAGGCATGGGTGTGCTGTTTCATTTGGCCTTGACATTCCCGTTGCTGTCGCCAACCATCGCGGCGTATGACAATGGCCTCCCTAATGGCACATGTTTTGACACTGCCATCCCTGAAAACCTCCGCAAGAACCTGACCACTCCTCAGGGAGAGTCGGTGCCGATTACTTTCCTGTTGGCAGGATGGAGTTCCGCCCAAGTCACCAGCTCCGTGATTGAAATCCTATTGACAGAGATCATGGGGTACAACATTGCTATTGGCAATCGACCACCAGCTTCAAGTGTGGATTCCATCTACTGCATGCTGGGTTGTGCAACCTGGTGGAATAACACTAATCGTGGATGTGAAACCAGGAAGATCATTCATCATGTGATGGTTGAAAGCTGGTATCTTGGCTTTCCCCATGTCTTGGACTTGTTGGCTGAGATGTACCAGGCAGGGAACCCAATGTTGAACATTGAACAGTTGACATAATAGGGTGATCAAACATGGAAATGGCAATTTTAGAAAACATAAATTTGAATTCATCAATTTGCGGTGGAATTTCTTTTGCCATGCCTGATTTCCGGAGGGTATATACTGGAATGGCTCAATGACCATCAAGCTCAGGAACGAACGAACCCAAACATCCAGGCAATGGCCGCTAGATGGTAAATCAGAGATTTTGCCTTGCACCTCAACAATGCTCACCCCTGAAAGGAAGAGATGCCGTTCAGCGCAGGTGACATGGGATATCCGGGTACCGCTGGTGGATATCTTCCAGCGGCCCCCTTGACCCAAGCACTAAATACCACAGGCGTTCCGTTTGAGTACTACAAGAACTGGGATGCAGCTTGGTTCACGCCCTCGGACTACTTCGTGAATCTGACGGCTGTTACTTGCCACCAATACAACGTGCCAATGTGTTGAACATTATCATGTATATATATATAATTATATATATATGCACGGCAGCTGCACTTGCACAAGCAATCGTAGATGGAAGCCAGTGAAGGATTGACAAAAGGTATGGCAATGCGATACGGCGGAATCTTTCCTTTTTCCACTGGCGGTTCGTTCCAAATTGCTGGTAACACCGATGCCACATGTTGATCGTGGAGAGGTGACAAGTGGTCACACTTTCATGCCACCTGTTGGAGGAAATGCTCATCATGGACAACAACAAAACAAGAACAACCACCCAGCAACAACGAACGAGAAAAAGGGGGAAAAGACATCGTCATCCATCAACGATCAAAACAAACCACATCCAAACCCAAAATATTTACCCTGGTCCTTCACAGAGGTGACCTCTACTGACTGCAGAGTGTGGTGAGGTACGGTTGTTTTCTACATCTTCAAGAGGCTGTTGACCCTTCTCCTTTCGTTCTCGTGCTGAGGACATAGTGGGATCTTCCACTATCTTCCAGTGTTAACCCATATTGTAGTACAAGAGCAATTGCCTTAGTTCACGTGCCTTAGTCAGTCCATTTGCAAGTTGCGCGTCAGAGTGAACCCATCGGGCTAAGACCTGGTTGACAGTTTGGGATTCTTTCAATCTCATGAGTGTCACATCAACCCTCTTCTCCGCACCTTTTGCTACTACAACCTCAGTCGCAAGTTTGTCATAAACATTTCAGCTATCTGTTACAAGACATCCTACAATCTTATTTACAGTTGAGTTGGGTTCTCTGATATTTACCTGATGACCCAACATTTCAGCAAGCTGGAAACGACTGAAAAACAATAAATCTTCAGCATTGGTGGCCGCTATGGCCTCGCTGGAGCCTGGGCTCGTGCAAACACGTCCCATCTTTGAGGAATGCCAAGCAATCGCGGAAACTGGGCTACAACGTCCTTCTAAAATTTCCTTGGACGTAGCTCCTATGAAAATTCCTTGAGTACTGCCACCATCGTGGCGGTTGATTGAAGCTGCGTCTGCCCATGCCACCAGTATCAGTTCTGAGATGGGAATGCGGTGAATGACCAGTGATGTGTCTTTCATGTTTTTCACCTGGTCCAAAAGCTGATTTGCACGCAGTAAGGTTTCTACTGTGCTAGTGTTGATTTCTGATAACATCAAACTCACATCAGCGGAAAAATGTGGTGCCACCTGTTGCGCATGCCAGCTAATGCCTCCCAGTAATGCTCTCAGTTGCGTCTTTTCAAAAGAATCAGTAGATGCATGTTTGTCTCTACGCCGTGAGGCTCGGATATTGATATGCTGAAGTTCTTCTGCATACTTCTCCTGGGATAATGTGTAGGTACCATCATCATGCTGTTGTACCAAAACACCACATTGCACAAACTTTCCAGATTCCCATTCTCCCCATTTGTATTGTTCCTGTATTTTCTGTAAGGTTGACTGCCAGAGTGGATCATCATCAGCTTCTGAAAACAGGAAATCCCGTGTCCAGTGATGATTCCACGTAATTGACCCTCGTGGACCAGAGTCCAACAACAAGGATCGGACCAACACTTCTTCAAACCCAGTGAGGTGAAATAGCTGCTGATAGATCTGTACCATTCCAATGGCGCATCTACCAGGCCATAGCATGCCTTCTTGACCTTTGTCACTGAACCGGGAGCCAGGCCCATGGCTTGGCAAATCTCATCGCAGGGCACGCAGAGTAACTCCTCAGGATACTCCCTGGATTGCAGGAAAGCACCTGTAACGTCACCTTTCTTGGTGCGAAAACCTTTGCCCGCACTGATTTGCAGTTGTAATTGCCTTGACAAACGAGTCGTTGTTGGTGAGTGTGTTGCCCTGTTTTCATATTCTGGATCCATATAGCCCTGAAGTACTGCTCTATCTTTCTTGCTATACCATCAGGTTTCACTTTCCAGGTCAAGATCCATCTCATGTTGATCACATCCTCCCGAGAAAACTTGTGTTCAGGAGCCAGTGCTTCGAAAGCCCTTGCAGAAATAAAATTGTTTACCTCAATCGCTTTTGCTTGATCAAATTGTTTCTTTTCCTCTGGAGTGAGCCTTCGTTCTGAAATCTCCACAGCACGTCGCTTCATAGCAGTTGTGAAGTATGCTTGTAGATCCTTGAAGGCTCTCTCAGAACTGCTTCGCGTTTGAGGCATATCAATCTCTACCGAAAAGACAGAGTTCCGAAATTCCTGTTGTTGACCTTGGTGGATGAAAAACGCCTCATCGACTTTTCCAGACCAGTGTGGGGCTTTCACAAAGCCGTGGCTCATAGGCTCTGTGTTGTCGTGGCCACGGCTGCGGCTCCGAGATCGTCGCTCCCTTGGTCCTTGAACCTCTGGAAGTGGACTACCTGACGCTGGCATCAGATCGTCACTTCCTTTGGCAGGAACCTCCGGAATTGGAGCTCCACTTTTTTTGTTCAGCCGTACAGTGGGTTGCCACTCTGATGCTGGGTCCCTTGCTCGCTTCCACTCCCCTATTGTGGGGACTTCAGTGATGTCTTCATATTCGTTGCCACCCAGCTCTTGTGCCACTTTAGGAAAATCCCATTGTGGTACTTGATGTTGATCATGTAGTTCAGTCAGTATCTTTTCTCTCACTGAGGCATGCCTCAGTTGTTCTGGGCAACATTTGAGGAGGCGGCGTCCCCTAACTAGCCACACTGAACTGCCAGGGGAGTCCCGCTTCTGTTCTGTCGCTAGGATCCTTGCTGGTCCTACAAAGCGCCCTTGTCCAATCTTGTTTTGTTGAGCGTCCACCCCTGTCAGTTGTTTTCTCCAAATATAAACCATGTCCCCTGCAGAAAAATCAAGGACTTTGTGATACTTTGAGGATGCTGCGCGTGACAACCGCTCTTTGGCCTGCCAACTCCAAAAAGGATTTCTCTGCCACCAATCTACGGTGGTGGTTTTGTGCCATGTCCTGGCGATCAGAATCTAAAATAGGTTCCAATGCATCATGGTTCAGAGGAGTGAAAAACCTTCCTGCTTCATCTGGAGCTCTACCTAGGACATGTTGAAACGGTGAGAATCCGCGGGCTGTGTCGCGGCGATTCAGTGCCCGAAAGGCCTCTGACAAAGCATCCTGTGCAGAAATGTCATTTTCTTCTTCAGCCATACATTCCATGACATGTTTAACCGACTGAACAGTTCTTTCACAAACCCTAATTTTCCAATGAGCTTCAGAGGGGATAATACCCAAAAAGATATGATGTTTGTCACAAAACTCTTCCAATTCTTTGCTACGGAAGCTGCCATCGGGGTCCAACGTCAAAGTTGGGGGTACCCAAAATACTGAACCCATGATTCCCTGAAAGTTAGGAGGAATTGAGCCGCTGAGACATGTTGTTTCTTCCCTTGGGCCACCATTTTTCCAACTTTAAACTTGGAACCCTCATCAACCATAACCACAAACTGCCATTTTTCCTGGGTATAGGGGTGAATCCAATGACCGATGTCAGCACTCACCGTGGCAAATCTTTGGGGCAAAGGTTCCAAAGAGGAAACATTACGTGGTTGGGGCCGTTTACGTTCCTCACAAATTGGGCATTTGAAATTCTCAGCCGCTTTAATGATGGATTCAGCCATTCCCCTCCTACGCAAGGTTTGAACCAGATGTTTCACTTGACCATGCCCAGTTGCAGAGTGGAGAAGATACAACCGTCTTTGCACCTCTTCGGGGGTCATTTTGGTGGTCAAAACCCCTTCCCTCTTATCAGCAACCATCACCCCAGAAACAAGGTTTTTATCCCGGGTACAATGCCCGCAAGTTAACCCCGTGTCATGATACTTCCCTTCTCCACAAACACACAAGGTTCCCTTACCAAACTCATCCCCAAAATGACCCGAACCATTCAGTTCCCCAGGAAGCATTTTTGGGTCTCCCTTTTGAAGGATGGCTTCACAAACCCTGCGAGCGAAAGCACGTGTGTAGAAAGCCGTTTTCTTGGTGATAGAACCCTGACATGGAACATGAGTGACCCCTGGACCACACCTACAAGGCAACTCCATGCGTTGTGACATGAGTGCATGAGTAGTCATCAACTTCCAACCTTTTTATGGGATCCCCCTTTTCAGTTTTCAGACCTACCTGACAACCCCTTACTTTGGCAAAATGCACACCATCCAAAACTGCAAGTTTCTGAAGGAGAGGGAGAGGCCAGGCCTGGCAAGTTTGTGAGAGTTCCCATGTGGTGTGAATACCCCTTTGGTAACAGTACCTGAATATGACTGAGCATGCCGTGTACTGCTTGAGGGCATCCCTCCTTTTTTCAGCCAGAGCTTCACACTGCTCCGGAGTTCTTTGATTCACATTCTGCATTATACTGTAGGGGCCACAGTCTGGAGACAGCCAGACATGTTCAGGTCTAAGAACATCGATCTTATCGAAAACAGCTTTCAACCCCGAGTTGGTGGTCAAATCATACCCATTCCAGATAGACAACCGATGGGCGGAACCTGAATGACCCGACAGTTCATGCATCATTGTGGTCAGAATGCTATCTGTGCTGCAGTAACATGGTACCCTCAGGTGCTCGCAACTCATGAACCGTATCAGCTAAGAGGTCCCGGCTGATTCTAGCAAGACACCTGTGAGCTAGGCTTCCGGCCTAAGGCTGGAACTAGGCTAGGGTCAGCGCTCTCAGACCACGAGGCACCATCACCAACCACAGAAGACGGTGAAGAGGGTGTAGGGCTCACATCACGTCGAAGCTCCCGGTGTCGCTGGCAGGCTTCTTGCGAGGCTTGCCCTCCTTGAGCTCTTGGACTTCCTCCTTGGGATCTTTGACCACAGTCACCAAGCTGGCCATCAACACTCTGGTAGAGGAGCTCTCGCTGAATGTCTCTGAGATCACTGAAGGTGCGGCCATGGCTTTGGCCTTCGGCTTGATCGACGACTGTCGAAGATAGCCCATCTGGATCAGCTCCTCCTTGGTGATGGGGTAAGGTGTCAATGGCTCCTTGGTCGAAGTGGCTTGGCCCTGCTTGAGCTGTCTGCACCACCCACTTGCAGTACTCCGGCTGTGTTTGCTTCAGCTCCTGGTAGTGGAGAGCTGTATGCGTTCCAAAGCCCACTGGATCCATCGCACTGGGAGGTGCCATGTGGTAGATGGCCATGATGCCCTTCTTCTTGAGCAGGGCAATCGTGTCGTTGGTGCTGATGGGCACCTTGAGCTCGTCCCGCACGAAGTTGACCAAGTCTTGCTTCTTGTTGCTGGCTGCATTGAGACAGATCATCATCTGTCTCAAGGGAGTCTTTTCCTTGGCCCTTGGGTTTGGGTTCAACCCTTTGGCCACCCTCAGTTCTTCCATCCGCAGCTTCATCTCGGCATTGCTCCACGACTGCGGTGGGAGCTCTCCAAGGCTGATCAGCTCGTCCAGGATCTCCTCGCGGGTCATGGCTGACATAGTGAGGGGCTGGTGGATCAGCAGGTGTGCGAGCTCGAACTTGAGAAGTGGCTCTGTCATTCTGCTTCTCAGCTTCTGGAGTCAGACCACTTGTTTCAGAACCAGGTGGAGTGTTATTTTTGGGGTTATTAACAACAGACATTGAACCACATCACCAACAACATCCACATCTTCATCGCATCCATCGTTTCCTTTAACAACCAAAGTTTCATGTGATGAGATTTCCGACAGCTGTGCACTACGCGTCCTACTACTGACCTTTCTTTCACCTACGGGCAAAGATGAAGAAAGGAGTTGTCCCTAGATATAGTCCTTCAGACTGGGCACTGGCGATTGAGCCAGCTTGGACTGGGTGAACCAATCATCAGACAATGGCAACAGCTGATGTCCTGTACAAGACCTCTCCAACTCAACGATCCTCTTGGGATCCAGCTCACGAAAAACAATCAAGTCTTCTTTGAAATCTACGATTGCGTCGAGGGATCTGAGTGTCTCAATGGAGAACAAAATAGGACTAGAACCACGATCCAGAGTGTGAACTTTCAACTCACCACCCCGACCCGGCTTCCACATGCATCCATGCCATTGACAAACAGCGATCGGAACTGGAGTTCCCGAAGCCGAAAACTGGACGCTGCTCACTATCTACATGTCGGAGACCTGTGTCCTCGGCGGTGCTGATTCAATTCCATCAAACGTTCTACAGCCGCTACTGACCCTAGGGTGCGTGTTGCACCGCCATCTAAAGATGGCCTTGCCCTGCAACATGGCCTGCTCAGAGGTGACCCCTTCTCGCACGACATTGCCTGTGGCCTGGGCCTCAGAGAAACAGACAAAAGGTGCTTCTTCTCGAGGTTCAGCCGATGAGGCATTGTCCTGGGTGCGCTGAGGGCATTGTGCCACCTTATGGCCCACCACGCCACATTTGAGGCACTTGCCAGCAAAGCCACCTGTGGAGGTAGAGGAACCACCTGGAGGGCGAGTGCTCCGGTAGTCAGTTCTGTAGAACTGGCGACTCATCTTCACTTGATGCTGCTTGGCCCTGGCTTCTTTGAGTGTTTTTCTACCACGCTCCATCAAAGCCAGGGCTCCTTGAACTTCTTCCTCTGCCGACTCGATCATCATCAGGCCCTCATCGTTCATGCCTGACTGTGCCAGGCCATTCAAGTCTGGCTCATAGATGTCTTGCAGAGAGTCTTCTCCTGGAACATCTTCAGCAGCCCATGCGCTGCCGCGAGTGCCCTGGTCTCTGTGGCGTAGATTGTGATCCGGCCATTGGTTGCGCAGCTCCTGGGCCACGCGCTCCACCGAGAAGTCATTCTTCAAGGCGGTCATCACCATGTTTCTCTCATCAGCCTCCAACCCAGCGTCCTGTAGCAGAAACCAGCCCTGGACAAAGGAGGGAAGCAAATCCACTGATTCTTCGATCCATGTGTTGACCGGGGTCACTGCGGCACTTCCATTGTTTCCACCATTGTTGGACCAACGGCCCCAGTCCCATCCACGGTGTGACCAATCCCCTGATTGCCACCATGACCAGGATGCATGCCATTGATCATCTTCTTCTTCCTGTTCTTCTGGTTCATCAGCATCGTAGTAAGCTGCATCATCAGGTTCAGCTTCTTCAGCACCTGCATGACTGGCGGTGCTGCCGGCTGCCGGCTCGACCACACTGCCTTGACTTCGAGAGGCTGTAGTGGGAGCGTAGCGACGCTGAACACGGTCCAGAGTCTGGCAAGCCCTAGCATACACTTCAGCTTTCCTGGTGATATACTCATTCATCCCCTCATGGCGAAGCCTTCTGTTCTGCTTGAAGTACTTGGACATGTACTCGGACATCTCAGTCAACTGTGGCTGACCTAGGTGTCGTCGGAGATGTGTGATGAGGCGTGAAACTCCTCCATCATGAGATATCCAGCCAGGCTTCATTGCTAGACGAACCTCCTTGCCGTTCCGGTGAGTTCAGCTTGGAGTCTGGGCCCGCACAGATACCTTTTGTGCTTGGCCACAGATTGTTCCCAGTGACTTGCCATTTCAGCATACTCCTGAAACGTCGCTGCATTCCCGTCCCAGCATGGTACACCATCTTTGGACCTTAGGATCTGTTGGAATCCTTTCTCATTTGCTGCCATGTGTTCTCCAGCGGCCTCGCAGCCAGAGATTGTCTAGGAGCCCTGGATCTCAAGCCTCACGCTGAGGCTCCGCTACCATGCACGGCAGCTGCACTTGCACAAGCAATCGTAGATGGAAGCCAGTGAAGGATTGACAAAAGGTATGGCAATGCGATACGGCGGAATCTTTCCTTCTTCCACTGGCGGTTCGTGCCAAATGACTGGTAACACCGATGCCACATGTTGATCGTGGAGTGGTGACAAGTGGTCACACTTTCATATATAAATATGACCACAAGTTTGTAACAGAGTGCACATGTTGGAGCTCAAGGCTGTTCATGCTCGAGCTATCCTCAGCTGCTGGTCTGGTGGTGCAGGGTTTGCGTAGTAACCTGTTTGGACTCGCGCGCCCCTTTTACTGCTCCAGCCCATGCTTTGGATCTCTCGCTGCCTGCTTTCTGCTTGGACTTTTGTGCGGCGTTGGTTGCTGTGCTTGGCTTCTGTTCCGGTTTGATTGCCTCCCTGGACTTGCCTCCACATCCACCCTTCGCCTTGTCCTGCCCGGTCAAGCCCCTCCTCCTCTGTGAGGGCACGTTCACATCTGTTGGAGTATCAGTATGAGCTGCCACGGCGACGTCATTGAGGCTTCAGTGGACTTTCCTGGACTTCGAGTCACCGTTTCTGGCACTCCTGCTAAAGTTGCGGATTTTCTGCGTTTTGCTGCCTCTTACCCTGTTGATCGTGCCAGGTCTCCTGCTCCGTCGGTGGGCTCCTTTGAGTTGTTGTCTGAGGTTCCAGAAGCTTCAGCTGCCCCTCCCCGGACTGGACTTGAAACCCGGGATCAGATCTCAGCCTCGTTCCTTGCTTGCCCGGCTCATCACTTGGCTCTTGGGATTCGCCTCTCTGGTGCTTCTCTCTCTGGCCGTGATCGTGTTGCACGTGCTTGGACTGCTGGCTTGTGGGCTAAGGCTGTTCTTGAGGGTCGTGTCTTCACCCCCAACCGGACTCCTCCCTTGGACTTGCGGTCGCATTTCTACGCGTGGACTGTCCTGTCATCTATCGGTCCTCGGCCTCCTAATGGCGTGCCATCGGGTCCTTGGAAACCAGTGGGTCCCCACTCCCCCACCCCCCCACACACCCCCCACCACATCCACATGGGGGGAGGGATACATAGACATATGCGTATACACATACATATACATACATACACATACTACATACGTATACACATACATGTATATATATATATGTATATAATCTCGGGGGGAGAGGGGGGACCACCAAACGCTGGGTATATATATATACATACATGTAGCATCTATTTATTTATTTGTTTGTTTGTTTGTTTGTTTACTTATTTATTCATTCATTTTTTTAAAATGTGTTTTTTTTCCTGGGCTACTCATGCCCTATTGCCCCGTGGGTCATGGCAAACCGTTTTGCGCTCGCAGCGAGGTTGACACAGCAGACTTCATGAAATGCAGCGAAACCACGATGCACGACAACGTCACCGCATATACCTTCTTCAAAATCAGCGGTGATACTGACGGTGTCGTCATCACTGAGGAAAATGGAGTGAAGACGTACAAACTTCTTTGCCAGGACCAGGGCCCAAATGGTGATAGAAACCGTGGGTTTCAAAGAAATGGTAAAAACATGAAGATGTGTTGCATATCATGAAAACATTTTTCGATGCAACATATGCAGCCTCATTTTGAAGTCCAGTGTTGCCGCTTGACCAAAGCCGCTGCCAGGACGAGTACTTTTGGCGCCCCAGCAGCTGCAGAAGTGACCCAAGCAAATGCGTCGTGTTTGTGACTGGCGGGGATGGTTGGGACATTCCGCATGCACCGCAGAGGGCAGCAGCATATAACATGCCATTCGCCATTGGGGTGGCTGCTTCATGGAGCAAGTACTTGGAAGTGCCTGGGAAGTACAAGTCGATGTACTTCTACTGGTGGACCCCAGATGATTCCTTCATTGAAATGCAGCCCACCAAGCTGATCTTGCCAACTTACGATGCCTATGCTTGGACCCTGAGCGATTACACCACCGCTGCGGCAGATATAAAAACTGCAAAGATCGTACCAAAAGATTTGACTATAATGGCTCCTGATGTGGTGAAGCTCCTGGCCGCCAGCTTGTTTGATAGCGCGGCAGTGGACAGCATGATGCTCAACATGAAAACCAACTCACTGACCCGGGAACAAGCTGCTTGTGCCTGGTTGAAAGGCAACGATGTTCGGTGGAACATGTGGATTCCAGATTCCACCAAGTGCGACCCTGGCTTTGGGCTTTACGATGACGCCACGGAGGTCTTCACTGCCCAGCGAACCACAGCCACGACTTGCAGGGCTTGCCTTCCAGGGATGCTTTCCAAGGAGCAAGCTTCATGCGCACATAGCCCCATGTTTCTACATGTTCCCTTTCACACCGTGCCAAAATTTTGCGGTCTAGACTATAACATGTCACTCCATGTCACTGGTCACTCCATAGCAGGTCTAGACAAAAATGGTGTTCAAATGTCGAGGCCTATTCCGATGATTCCGGCCCCACCTACGTTTGCGAAGCTTGTCCTGCGGGCCAGCAACAGCTGGGAGCCGGCGAAATGGCTTGTGATCCTTGTCCTTTGGGCACGTCCAAGTTAAACCAGTCCACAGAGGAGTGCGCGCTCTGTCCGGCAGGCGGTCAAGAAAGCAAATGAGTCGAACCTGGTTGACCAGTCGAACCCTCATCCTGCACCAACATTGATTGTTAATATTGAATCGTTGCCTGCATCATTGAAAGAATGATAGAATTAGTTGGTTGTTCGGTCGTCGGTTGTTTTGTTGGCCCGCGCCTCCCAACGTTGTGGTCTTGCAACATGCCAAAAACTGCCCAAGTATTGCCCTCACTATGCGGCCAAAGAACTGTTTCAACTTACGGTTCCGAGGCTTAATGCCACGAGCTCCACAAAACTTGTTCTCGGTCTTGCTAGTATAGTTTTGACCTTCAGGACCCGTGACCAGTTTTTCTATTTCTGGATTCAGCGCAATCCTCAAGCATTGACGAGGTTGAAGAATGAATCTCTTACGTGTGCTTTCATTGGTCGTACTTGGTCATTCATCCCATTGCATTCCTGTTTGTCATTCGGCTGGTCAGTTATCGCATTTCATTGCATTTCCGTTTGCCAACATGGCTATGGGTTATAACTATTGGCCAAAATTTGGTTGAGCCAAAGTCGCAAGCTGTGCAGAGGTTTTTTAACTGAAGGGGCTGAAGATGTCATGTTCTGCCAGGCCAATACCAGGACGAGGAAGGAGCTTTTCAATGCAAGAAGTGCCCGCCAGGAACAACGACCATGATTTTGGGAATGAAGTCAATTTCAGGACAGATTGGCTGTTTCGAAATTTGGTACAACGTGGCACGTGGTGCTTTGCTCCCATAGAGTTCCACCAATGAAAATTTCCCCGCCGTCTGCAGGATGTGGTTGCAAGGCTGGCAGCATCGATGTCTCTGATTTGAACTCTCCACTTCGGACCGCAGCCGATTGCCAAGCCTGCACCGCCGGTCTTGATTGCCCCACCATGTCGACAGTAGCAGCGCTCAAAGCTGGTGTGTCTCCCGTGGGTGAGGAGTTTACGCCCATGGTCATCGAAGGATACTTGGATACAGAGGTATAGTTGGTCATTCATTATGCATTTGGGCAGGTACAAGCTCCTTCGGAGCAGGTTGCAAATGGCTTGTTTGGTGGCCAGGACTGTAAAGATCTTGTCATGAAAGATCCGGAAAAGTCTGAACTAAAACTTGTTTTTGACATTTGAAACGTGCATTTTTCATCATCTCTCAGCATATCTGGGGTAGCGCAACTCAGGCTACTTCAGCACCGAGTCGAAACCGATTGAGCTGTTCAAGTGCTCGAGCCCAGTCGAATGCCCAGGCGAAACTTTCACAAGCGATTCATTTTGAAATATTTTGAAGTTTGAAGTGACAAGTCGATGAAGATGACGCAATCGAATATAGGAATGGCTTGTTGCAGAGAAGGTGGGGACACAGGTATATTGTGCTCGGTCGCAAATTTTACGCCGCATTTGATTCAGGCGGAAAGCCTGACACTTGTGGCGGAGATCGCGTTGGGGTTCCTTGTGGCGAATGTCCGGCTGCGACCTATTGGGCCGGATCGAAATGCTCAGGATGCACCGCATGGTCTGCGATTGGTTGGATTTTGTGCATTGCGCTCATCTTCGCAGGCGCACTGGGGAATGAAGGGGAGGGACAAAATGATAGAATTGGTAGCTTGCAAGACTTTGTGGTCAATTTGCCCACTTGGTGTCCACAATTCCTTTCGCCTGCTTTGATGTTCCAGATCTCTGTCGATGTGGCTCATTTGCAATGCTGTAGCCATAGCCCAACATTTCCACTCGTTGGGATTGGTTGTTATAGGTTACCGTTTTGCCCCTGGAGTTTTTTCTGAGTATACTGTATACTGTATACTTATTTTTTTCATTTCATATCCATAGACGTTTGCCTAGCTATGGTTTTAGTATGATCCATACTAGCCATAGTTTTAAGCAGCCGTAATCCATAATATTATCGTGTCTAGTTATGGATAATACTTCTTTCTGGAATCCTTTCTGGAATCCTTTGCCTCGATCCTTTCTGCAGCCCGTGAGTTTGCTTCCACGGATGCGCACCGATTGAAAGTCAGCTCTTGTCACATGACCGGAGCCTTGTGAGTCATATGACTTTGCACATGGAGGCTTAGCCACCGTCAGTTGTATCAGTATCTCCTTGATCTGTGGGTTCACGGGTAGATCAACAAATGAGGAGGTCACTCAAAACCGTCAGCTGGAAGCTCTTACACAGGCCTGGTGGGGGCTTACTACTTCTTGAACTCGGCTGTGACGGCAAAGGCTTCCACATTGGTCAGCACGACATGCGCAGTTGGCATGATGATCAACATGCTCCAAAGCCTGGGGATCATTGGAACGATGACGGTGGGATGGCCAGTGAGCCTCAAAGGCATCTGGGGCTTCTTGCAGGCAGGCGTAGCAGACTTGAAATTTCTCGTTGCGCTGCCTGAATGATCTGAGTGTTCATGAGTCTGCAGCCCTCTAGGACCCACCAGCATTCCGAAAGCTCCTCACTTCATTACCATAACATGAACATCATGGACATCGTCATGCGCCTCAAACCGTTCAAGTCTTTCAAATGTTTCAACGTGCCCAGTAGGTCTTTACCTTTGACATTGACGGCTTTGCATTTGCTTGCATTGCCGGTGAAAACCCAGTGGCACGCTACATTTTACTGGTGACTTGGTGTCGCTGTGGGCAGCACAAAGGTAACCCCCAAATGGGACAATCACTTACGTTTGCCCTCATTGTTTGGCATCTCGTGTAAAAAAACACTGCATGAGTTGGCGATTGTCTGGGACGCCAAGCTTGTCAAGACACTTTCTCGGATATTCACTTGACTCACTACATTGCGTATATCAATTAGAATTTTAAGGCCCAATTTTGCTGACAATCTTGGCTCCCCTCCAAGCAAAGCTGGAATCAGTGTCGATCGACGATCAATTTCAAACCTCACGCCTTGATACGCCTTGCCAATGTTTAATTCCAAGGTCCTGTTCTTCCCAGCCGGGCTTCTTTGGTTGAGCCTCTGCGGCGTTGTTTCCAAAGTCAAAGCAAAATGGGCTTGGGACACGACCAAACTTCGAAGTACCATGGGCCAGTTCATGCAGGCGCGAGTGCTGAGGAAAGCCGTAGCCCATCGTAGCCCCATATCAGACCGGGCTCGGCATGTTAAAATCAAGGGAAGACCCTGTGTTTCGCACACGTGGGGGCTGGCAGCGCGTCGCGAACAGCATGCTGCGCTAGGTTTTGATCCACACGACTTCCAATGTCCAGACAGCGCGTAAAATCTAAAGCTTCGATGTAATTGCTTCTCCATGCGGCTCCTGACATGTGCGCTGAGACACCAATAAAACCAAAAACAATCCTGGGGCATGTTCTGCTGAGTCTACCAGAGAGGGTGCTCCCGCAGTGATAGCGCGAATTTTGTGACGGAGTGAAAGAAAAAGCCGTTTCCCTTCTAGTCTTCGCTTGTGAAGCTTACCACTAGACTAGAATCAAATTGTCGTTTGCTTTGACAACCGAATTTTCATTGTTGCAGCAACAGTTCGATGCAGTCCACTGAGTTTTGTCACGGGAAAAGAGGTCAAATTCATGCATGCACGTGAAGCCCGGTCCTTTCGTGCGCTGCTGTCTGGCGCTACGTCTCTGATTAGCACGTTGATCGCGCGAGATGGTGGCGGAAGTTTGGAATAGGATAGGATGCCTATACAAAAGCAAGGGTTGCCGATAAATATGAGATGTCTATAGAAGGGATGTTTGACTGCTAGAGGAGCCCTTGGTGGATGGGTTATTCATTCTCGATGGCTGATTCAATGTCCATGACTTTGCCTTTGTCCGCAAGTTCACAGGCCAAAAATCACGTGTCCATTGTGTTCATTCTATTTCATCACTCTTTCATGTTGTTCTTGCTTTTGATTGTCTTGCCTCCTCTTCTCTTCTCTTGTGTTACTCTGCAGGACCTTGCCTTCACTTTAACTTATCACTTATCCAATCTTATTATCTTCCCTTCTCCCATCATCCTTATTCTTCAAGATTTTCTTTCTTCTTCTGCCTGCTGTCACCTTCATCATCTTGTCTCGTTTCTTTTTTCCGGTGTATCAAGGAACTTCCTGATCTTTATGATTACCCTTGGTGCGAACCGCTGGTGGTTTTACACTTTTGACCTGGAAATCTGCTTCGCGCAGCGCAATGTTGCACTTTTCCACCATTCTAACTTCGTGGAGTTTCACGCTTTTTGACTTGTACATGGGCTTCGTTCCACACGCTCGTGCATTCCGCCGGTCCGCACGCACCTCTCTCGAACACCTTACCCCTTTCCCCGCCACGAAGCCGTGCAAAAACAATGTTTTTCCTTAGATGATTTGTATCAATCTTTGACTTGGAGTGAGCGTCATTGTTTTTGTGGAAATGTTGCATTTTCGGAGACTGCCAGAAGGCAGGATTCATCATTCATCAAACATATTGGAAGACATCTTGGGCTTACATATGTTTCACGAGGCATCATTGGGCGGGCTCCTCAAACAACGTCGCAAGTCGTGAGTCCTTTTGCGCGCGTGGCTTTACATATCAATCTTTGAGTCCTAGTCTGCCGGCTTTGGCGCGGTCAATTTTGCGATGTAATCTGCCTAAAGTGGTGATAGTTTCGAGTTTTGTCGGTTGATTGAATTTTATTGGTTTGGCATAGTTCGGCTGAATATCTTGGTCACGTCTTGTCCTGTTGGCTTTGTATGTGATGGTTTCGACTGTTTGGCAAGGTGGAGGGGAGTCTCCACACTGACACCTGGCGCCCACCAGTGATTGGGTTTCTGTTTGGCAGGTGTCTTTCTCAACGATGAGCAGCACAGCATTGGTACCATATTTTTGCTACGCACACCCCAACGGCTTCCGAAGTCACTTGCCCCATATCTTGGTGCGCACTTTCTGAACTTTAGAGAAGCCAGTGGGAGCTTGGACGATTTCACCAAGTAAGTTTCAAGGTTGGACCTGTCAGCGTATTGCGCGTCAGTGCTCGGTTTCTGGGAGCTTTGGTAGGGTCACAAAGTTGGTAGTGAGGATACCGTCAGTTTATCAATCATACATATCATATGGCATAGTGATAGTGGAATATTTATTAGGTGAAGATGTAATATTTTGATATCTTGTATTTTAATATGTAGTATATAAAACATGTACACAGCAACCGTTAACCATCAGTTGAGATAATGAAATGCCACGAATCCCTACTGATACCGGTTGCGCCCCAACCATTCACAACTCTAGGCAACCTCAAGTACACAAATGTTTTTTGCGGAACTGACGAGCACACTGCTATGGTGATTGCTGGCTCACTTCTGCTTGCTTTCGGTGCCTTGACAACTAAGATGTCAGTGGATGTGGGAGAGGGAAGCCAAACAGCAGTAACGGTGGTGCACATGGTTGTCTTTTGGGACCAGACCCCTAACGTAGAATGAGAGGGAAAATAAACAACATCTTTAATTTTTTCCATCTCAGGATTCTCGAAACGCTGAGGCGTTTGTGGCTTCTGGGGCTTCGCAGCCTACCTCGCTCACATGTGTCCCAAGTGGTGTTCTGCTGGAAAGTTTCAAAGGGTGCAGAGCACCTTGGCGCTAAACCAGCCCTTATGGTAGAATAACAATACAATAGAAATCCAAGTTTGGTGCGAATGCTCTCTGAACATCCGCTTCACTGTTTCCCCCACCTCCTCTACAAGAGCCATTCTTAGGGGTTTGAGCTTCGGTCCCAGCAAAGCCTTGACCTACAGCAACCTTGACGCGACATCGAAGACGACGCGACCAGCCAAACCGACACCCAGCCAGACGCATACGACCAGCAAAGCGGCAAGGGATGAGACCACGATGAACCGAGTGCCGACCGGGACGCACAGACCCAGCCGCCCCCCTCCAACCCAACCAGCAGGCCACCCATCCCCCTCCCAAGACAAGGGAGACAAAGAGGAAGCCGACGTCCAAGGAGCAAGCACAGGTCAAGAAACCGATGACCCCAAAGACAGTACCGATAGCACAAACGACACGAGAAAGTGTCTTAATTTCAATGGCAAATGTTTGTTGGGACAGCACTCCGCATTGAGAAACACGATCGCACTCTACCAAGGCTCCAATTTCATGCAAGAATCCAATTTTATCTGTGGCACGCCAGCGCCAGCGCAACTTCAGCTCAAGCGCAATCAGCATCAGCAGCAGCCACAGCGTTGACATGGCTCTACCACTGCGTGGACGAGTCTAAAGCGCCCCAACAGAAACCTGCCACCTTGAGCCTTGAGCCAAAATGGCTTGAGCCAAAATGGCTACGGAAGTTGGCACCTTGAAGTGTAACAAGTTTTTAGACCCAGGATGAGCAACAGGCTCCAAAACGGCACAAAGCCGATAACTCTGCTCCGTACACTTTGGTGGACTGTGGGGGTGCTGGGAACTGTGGTTGGAACAGTGTTGCTGTTGGTTTAGGTATTAAAAAGGGATTGACTTATGAAGAAGCTTGTAAGGACATCGAAACCACAGTTCGCACCCTTAGGGCCGATGTTTGTTCTCATGTCATGCGACACTCCACTGATTATAAGCCCAGCTGGGCGCCAGACAGCGGAGAGACCGAAGTCACGGCGGCCGGGGCAGTTCCGGCAACCTTTGAAGAGTGGGCAGCATCCCTACTCAGGGACCGTCAATGGATGTGTGGCATGGCGCTTGAAGCTGCTGCGCGTAGATGTGGTGTCAAAATTGTCATTTTAGAAGAAACCAATGGGGAGATGCTTGAACCTCTGGTTTGTGGAACTGGCAAGAAACGTGAAGACCCTATCATTTTGTACCTCAAAGATGAGCATTTTCAATTGGTTCTTCGACAGGACGGAATTGAACTCCCAAGGGACTGGGTTCAGGCTAAATCTTCTGGGGAACCCATAAGGATTATTCTTAGAGGGGCTGGACGTCTTTGGTGTGACAAAACCCCTTCTAAGACTTCTACTAAGAAAAGCAGTAGACCGATGCGCCAAACCCGCAGGGCGTGGTCCTCTAAAACTCCCTCCAGGGCCTCCAGTACCGCTGATGGGTTTTCAACTGCTCCGACCTTTCGCCTTTGGAGGAAGACCAGTCTACAGGAGAGCGAGAAACCAAGAGGGGACAGCACTATGGCTCCTTCAACCGACCAAAATGCTACAGGAAGCGATTTTCAGTTTGGCACAGTTGCGACCTCAGGAGACCGGCCAAAATTCCCAAGCGGCAAACTTGGGGCCCTGCATGAAATCACTGAAGCGGAAAAGAAATCCCGACCGTGGTGGACTTGTCAGCTCTGTGGCCACGTGATATATATCAAACAATTTCAAGGGAGATATTCTGCGGCACATCTCAAGGCTAGGCAAAGGCACCTTTGCAAGATTCACGGATACAGCAAAGCCCCCCCTCTCCCCCGACATGGTATTCAGGATATGGCGATCAGAAATGAGGCTAGGCAAAGGCACAACCAAAACATTGGGTGGAAAGCCGTGTGGGAAGCTTATATGAGTAACAGATGGCCCGGTAGTCACCGTATTCTTGAAAAAGGCATTCGTACGGTTGCTAGATCTGGGTATGTGGTTTACAAACAAAAGTGTCAGGACTGTGGCGCGGTCATGTGTAGAGGTGATGTCCCCAAGCGTGACCCCTGTGTTAAAAATCCCACCTTCGCGGACGCCCCCTCTAGGCCCGAGCGTGTCAAACTTTGGCGTGGGTTTCAAAAATGCCGCCAGACCGCTATGCGAGACGCCCGCAAAGAGAGGTACAAATGCGCGATGAGCAAAAAAGAAAGCATGCAGTACGCGAACCGCATTAGGCTTGCTAGGAGCAAAGAAGCTAGTTTGTCTAAACTCGCGGATGGAGTCAAAGCCACTAGAAGAAACCACCGTGGTGAGGTCATAGGGGAAGCTTCGAACCCTGGTCCTGCGGTCCCTCCCTCTTCTCATGGTCGCGCTAGTGAAAAACCCAGCCTCAATTTGTGGAGCACAAACATTCGGTCATGGAATAAACATGGCGAGTCCCTTCTTGGCGAAGCTACTAAGGCAAACGTGCAAGTGGTGTGCTGTCAGGAAACCAACCTCCCTCAGGAGGATTTCGCTACTCAGATGTGGGTAGCCCGGCAACTTGGATGGAATGTCATTTTTATTCAGTCCTTTGGTAGCAACAACGGTGGCCTCGCAGTTGCAGTCAGAGAACCTCTTGCCGTGGTTATCCTTGCTGAAATTTCGAATGATTCGGGTCAAATGATTCAGGTTGAAGTTCACTCCTCTAGTGTTCCTTTTCGCTTGTTTAATGTGTATCAACGACCCGGCTGTTGGGATCCTTCCATCTCTCATCCTATGCTTGGGCTCGATAACACCCCCTGGGTTTGCTGCGGTGACTTCAATGCTGATGTTCGCAGCCTAGGTTTTGGGACCCTCGTTGGCACTGCTAGACACACTACCAGTAAGCATCCTATCGATGGGGTCTTTGCCTCCGAAATGTTCGCTCAAATGATTGGTGGGGAACAACAAAGTTTTGGCAATGACCACAGCATCGCCTGGGCCTCCTTCCAGGGAACGTGGGTCACACCACCTGGTGATTCCACCATTTGGATTTTTCGCCAAAATAGGCAAACTCAGAATGCAGGTCTGGAAAACGAATTTCAGGACAAAGAGAAGTTTTGGGTCAACAGTGTCTGCTCTCAGGAGGAATGGCACAATTGCCTCCAACAGGACAGCGAAGCGATTTGGGCACAATGGACTCAGGATTTTGAAAGCTTCTTGGCTGGCACCCAGCAGGTCATCCCAGCCAAACGCTTTCCTCTCATAGGCGCTGTCCCCACTCTGGTGTCCGGTGGGCATCATGGGGCTCCGGGGCAGACTCACAGGGAAAGGGAATTACGACGTGGCATCAGGAGAGCACGTGAAGCTGCCTTTCTTTCCCGCAAAGGTGCGCCAGTCTCTAGGGGTCTTGTAAACAACATAGCTAAAAGTCTGGAACCTTGCAAACGTCACCTGGTTTTGAATAAGCAATGGACGCTTGTCGAGATGGAATTTTTGGGCAGACTGGATGAGGTTCTTAAACAGAAGACCAAAACAAAACAAGAAGCTTGGACGAACGAGATGTCCAACCTGTCCAAAGCCACGAAATGGATCAAACAAAGCTGTCCCCCTCAATTTTTGCTGAAAGGGGGGGTGGCTGGCAGGGTTGCGTGTCTTAAGGTGATTCACAATGTCTGGAAAGCGATTTTTGGATGCGATACTGATGCAGACGCTGACCCCCAACATTTTTGCCGGATGTACAAAGATGACCTCCCCGAGGAGACTCAGGCTCAGACGCTCCCCAAACTAAATAAGTGGCAGGTGCGTAACATGGCTGCTACCATGGCCAACAAAGCCACGGGCCCTGACGGTATTTCGGCTCAACACCTCTTGACACTCCCAGATGATGGCTGGGAAAGGATCACTCAGATGCTTAATCGGTTTGAAACGCTGCAAACCTTTCCTTCTGCAGTGCAGCACTGGAAAGTTGTTTTCATACCTAAAGGCAATGCTCCTGAAGGGGTGAGTGCAGACCAGATGAGACCCATTAGTGTGGCGTCTATTCTGTACCGACTTTGGGCCCGCTGCCGGATCAAACAATGCAATGAGGTGGTCGAGAAACACCTGGCCCCGCTTCAAGCCACTACGCAGCTTGACCCTGAAGTCATTCACCTTGTCTTGCGGGGAGAATGTCCGGCCTCCTCCTTTCAGTATGGATTGGCTCTAGACTACAAAAAGGCTTTCGACAGCGTGAACACCGAGCTGGGCCTTCACCTCCTCAAACGGGTTGGTCTCCCTCAGAACGTGCTTGGTTTGCTCTCCAGCCAATGGAGGAATCAAACGCGCTGGTTAAGTTTCGCTGGTGCAATTCATGCTGAACCGTTGACCAAAGTCCCTAGTCTGCCGCAGGGAGACCCCTTTTCCCCGCTCACCTTGGCTCTTATTTTGTCCTGCCCAGGCAAAAGATGCATCAGGCTTTTCCCTATGGTGAAATGTGCGCTCTATCTGGACGACAGAACCTTGACTAGCGGCAACGTTGAGAAGTTAGTTGAAGCTGCAGCTGATTGGGATCGTTTGTCCCAAGTCACCAGACTCAGTACCAATCACCAGAAGTCCCAGCTCTGGGGCAGAACTGCAGCGGCTGCGAAATACCTGAGAGAACAGCACTTTGAATTTCCTGTCAAGAACGAAGTTGAAGTCTTGGGTTATTATTTGGGCGCCAACCCTGAGCAGCACCCCAAGAGGCTGGCCCGTGTCGAAAATGGAAAAACAGTGGCGCGAAAGATAGCCACGCTTCCCATTCCCCAAACCCTTAAAAGCCAGCTCGCCATGAGCCTGCTCACCAGCACTGCTGCCTGGGGACAGGACGTCACCAAAACTCAACTCCTCCGAGCGGCGCAAGACCAGCACCTGCAAAACTTCAAGTTGGCTGTTTTTGGCATAAAGAATCCCTCTAGCAGTGATTCTCAAAGCAAAGCTCAGAACAGGTCTTCTCCTCACCTCAGGCAAATACTCGATTTGGGTCACGGCTCGGATCTGATATTTGTCGTGGTGACTAAGTACATGAGCGCGCTGGCGCGTTGGTACAAATATAGAGTCCCTGATAGCAGCCTCACTCGCAGTTTTCAACGCAATTCGGCAGATGTCTGGAGAGCTGTTCGAAAGCACCTCAACACTTGGGGATGGCAGGAACAGGACTGGGGACACTGGGCAGTGCCCAGGGAAGTGCACTTTCAGATCACCATGCCCAAAGAACAACGCGCGGTTTCTTTGCACCACCTCCGGCAAAGTTGGAGGAAGGCAAACTTACTTGCTTGGCTTGATTCGGATAGAAACGATGCGCGAGTCGCGCTTACTGTGGGACTTGACGAGAACATTCATGATGGTCTTATTGATACCTTACGTAAAGTTTACAAACAACTCAGTAACCCTCATGAGAAAGCGGTTGTCACTGGTGGAATGCATACTGCCGCCAGCACAAGGTGGGGAGGTACTCAAGAAATTGTGGATGAAGCGGGAAACATGTGCTGTCCCGACTGTGGTCAGGCGCAGCACCCGACCTTGGAACATGTGCTTTGGAACTGTGATAGATATGCTCATTTGAGGGTCCACAGCCCTCCATCCTGTCCGCTTGTTCGCAGACTTGGATGGAGCCATGAAACTACAGTTTCCCAATCTCTGTCCCTTCTCCGACAAATGGGGAAAATTCGAGAAGCTGAAGTCATCAATAGAATGCAAAGGGTCCGACTTCAGCACGCCCGTGTGATCCGAGGTGGTGGCACAGCCATCTTGTCTGGTCATACTAAGGAGCCGTCTGGTCATACTCAGGTCACTACCCGCATTGGCGCTGGCGCTGGCGAGTGGCATTGGCGCTGGCGCTTGCGCCTGCAGCGGCTGCGGACGCTGCTGCGGACTGCCGACGCCTGGAGCAAATGCTGCTGCGTGCGGATGCAGACTTGCGCAGGCCGAGTGAGTAGGATCTTACTGTCCATCCGCGTTTCACACCTCTTGCATGTCTTTAGGCTGTTTCTTTATTGGATGACTCCTGACAATGCTGTTGTTTTCCAGTCGAGCAAAGAAAATCGGCCCCAGAAGATGCCGGCAAGACCCCTTGAGGCTAAAATTGTTTTGGTGGAACAAAACTCTCGTCTCACACTTGGTAGCCCTAGCAACATTGTGAAGAAGAGCTTTGTGAGATGGGCCAGTCACTGTGTTGTTTTTGGTCCCCCGGTGGAAACTGAAAGGCCGACAAGAGCCCTTAAAAAGAAAGATGTCAAAAAAGTGCAACCTGTGTGGCTGCAAGTTGAACAGAAAAGAGAGCCTGTGTGGCTCCTGCCAACTTTTGTGAATTCGTTTTGGTTGAATTCGTTTCTGAATTCGTTTCCGAATTCGTTTTGGATGCTCTGCGCAATTTTGACGCTCCTCTTCTTGGTGCCTCTCAATTTTGGCCACCTATGTGGAGGCCCCCCAAGTCCAGCGGTGGCGACGGTGCTGTGCCATGGCTTCGGAGGTTAATCCCTCCTCTCTTTGCCTCTATCCCGTGTTAGGATGGGGCAGTGACACATGCGCTTCCGGCTTGATGTTTGGTGGTATGGAGTGCCGTTGCTCCTTCGAGGAGGGGGAGTGTAAAGCTTCAGCAGGGTTCAGCCCTGAAACCATCAACTTGCAGGACCGTTGCTGGCACTGACCGTGGTGGTGGCTCCTGACTATCCGGCCGTGCAATGTTTGGCCTGCCAGATTATTCTGATGACGTTCATGGCCGTGCAAATCTACAACTGGCCTTGGAAGGCGCCCATTCTCAACGTTGTGGATATGGTCGTTTGCTTCCTACTCGTCATCCTCGTAGCTGTGGCCGGCTTCTACGTCCCAGCAGTCACAGATGGTCTGAAGACTTTCTTCGAGGTCTTCAATATTGTGGCTTTGAGTGGCCTACTTGTGCTGGTTGCTCAGCTGCCCATAGTTCTACCCGGGCCTCTTTCGAAATGCATGTTGATGTTTTTTGGTTTTACTGGTTTGTTGGAAAAATAAAGCACACATACTCGCTTTGCCAACTTCGTATCTTTTTTGGTTCGACCGCACTTTACTTTGTCGGAGAACCCTCAGTGCGTAGATGATAGAACTTTGACATTCTGCGGTTTCCGAGGTTGGAGTAATGATCCTAGCATCTGTGCTGGCACTCTTCTACCGCGCTGCTATCGGCAGCCAACAGGAGTTGAAGATCATGACCGTTGGGAAAACACCACCGCCGTCACAGGCAAGGTATGTGCGACTTCACTTGCCTACGAGCGGCAAGACATGTCTTTAATCGCACTAGCCGCATGGGTTTGTTGTCTGTTGATATATTTTCCATTATTTTCCTACGTCCTTGGTCAGGGCTGGTTATTTTGGTTTTGCGTTCTGCCTCCTTCGGCTGAGCAATGACTCATCACAGCTGGCCCATTTACTCGACATGACCCAACTCGATCGACTGAATGCAGCTTAAATGTAACGGTGGCTGTGCGTTTCTTTGCCGTGCCGCTTGGTTTTTGATCCTCATTTTCCCCATTCCATTTTTCTCTCCCAACTCATCTGCTCAATCTCCGATGATCTCTTGCTCGCTCAAGTTGTGTCACCTTTGCCCAGCTCAGCCTCGACCTCGACCCATACCGCCCATCATCGAAGGTGGCCTCCGTCTTGGTGCGCCAGATTGCAGCTCTGGTCAGCAAATCCGACGAGCAGATGGCTGCCAAGTTGGAGAAGCTTGGAGTTTACGACTTGCAGGCGCTGCAACTGGCCTCGTCTATCCTGCAAAACGAGGCCGGGTTCAGACGAATCGCGATTTGAGCCTCGAAAGTCGCGAAATTTTGAGAGACGAGACGTTGTTAGAGAGATTTTGCGGCTCGGTTGTTGAAGCTGTCCGCTCGTGTGGCCAGGTAGTGGATGCTACGGATGCTATTGAGCCCACCAGGTCCAGCAGGTCGACTTCTCGCATCACTTCCCAGGCGTTGGCACCGGCGCCGAAGAAAAAGGCAGAGCCTGAGCCCCCGAAGCCTGAGCTTGATAAGGATGATGAGGATATCAGGGACGGAAAGGACCAGAACAAGCTCAAGCAAGCTGCGGTGTGATTGTAGACGGCTGCGGGGTGGCTTGACGTTGTCTCATAGTTCCGGCTCGTATTTGTACGGCAGGAACTTTGAAATTTCGGTAGCTGCAGGATGCGGAGTCTTTTGATCCTGCAGCACTGCAGCGCCTAGAAAACAATTATTTAATTACTTTTTCCAAGTCAGCAGTGTTGATCGGGATGGTTCTGGTGGAGCTGCAACTGTACAGCAAGTGCGCAGCTACCACCAGCGCCAACAGTTCTTGACGTTGTCTCAATAGTTTCGGCTCGTATTTGTACGGCAGGAACTTTGAAATTTCGGGAGCTGCAGGATGCGGTGTCTTATAATCCTGCAGCACTGCAGCGCCTAGAGAACATTTTTTTTTCCAAGTCAGCAATGTTGATCAGGATGGTTCTGGCTTTCCCCTTTCAAGTGGAGCTGCAACTGCCACAGCAAGTGCGCAGTTGGGAAACAAATTCAGCGCTGCCAGCCATTGGGCTGAGCGCCGACTGACAGCAGGAAAAACCTCTTTAAGAGGGAAGAAAAACCTGCCAGTGATGACACTCTCCGTAGGGAAAAGGAATCTGCGCACCCCGCCAGGCGTGCAGAGACGCCACAAGCAAACAGCACATGTGTCTCTGACTTCATATTAGGGACCACCAAGTGTACTGTCCGAAACTGGTGCCAGGCTTTTCTCCTCGTGAACTGGGACTTGCTCCAAGCCGCAAGCGCATCTCCCCAGCAAACTGCCTTGAGAACACTTGGAGAGGACGGAGGGCTTTTGCTGAATCTGATCCTTTTCTTCTGTTTTTCATCCTTTTTGTATCATGGAACCAGGTTAATGTCTCAGTAAATTCATGAAAAGGAAGGAAACCATGGGAATCATACCTTCAAAAGCCGCTTGATTGACAGCATGATTCCTCTGAGGCTTGGCTGATGAGTCGAGATCATTCCGCTGGATGTGCCGTTGTGGCACCTGATCAGGATTGGAGGTAGGACCTTTTTTTTGGTGCCAAGCGACAAAACTATGGGCCAAAAGGTCCCTGCACAGGTTTACGTCTTTGTATATCTTTGTATCCTCGCAACACATTGGATGCTGTACAGCCCGCTTTCGCTCTTTAGCTAAAGACGCTTTCAGGTGAACGCTTTACGCTTCGAGGCCACGAGCGAGTTCGAAGCACGAAGTGTTCAGCTGCGTTCAGCTTGATCATTGGGGTAGAAATTGAAAATCATAAATTAAAATAGCATAAACAACATTATATAAAACAACATTGAAACAGCATTAAAGCAAGGTAACAGCATCTGTAAGAGGCCGTGTCGCTGATGACATCACACAGTGCCAGGACGATGAGAGAAGTGTCCAAAACTGTTGTAATTTATACATTTCCATACATTTTCATATTTCTGGAATTAATTTCTGGTGCGAATCCCTTGGAAGGGTCACTTCAAAAGTGGAAAATCTAGTGTTTTACAAGCACGAAACAGGAGTTTTGTTCGTCGAGGGTTTCGCCGAAAAGTTCCTTTTTTCCTTTCAAGCACAAAGTTGTCCGAGGTTGTTTAGGACATTGCCTTTGATGCTCTTGCGCCAGACTGCAGCTTACAAGTACTTCCAAATTTTTCTGAAGTCTTGTCTGCAGTCTTTATGTGTATTCAACTGCCGGGGAATCGTGTTTTTAACCAATCCCACTGTTTGTCTAAAGTCTGTGTTCCGGCCAAAGAAGAACTCTTTTTCGTGGGGGGGGCTTCCCCCCAAGTGCTTCACAAACTCACCGCGGTTGTGGGCAAAGTTTTGCCATTTGAGGCGTTTTTCTGGCACTTGTTGTTTGGAGGCTCTTTTCCAAGCTTTGCAACCATCAGCATAGCAAGCTGTTCTGGCTCGTAGCATGACGTATGTGTGGAAGCGCAAGAGAACGTGCAGCAGCGTAGCATGACGTATGTGTGGAAGTGCAAGAGAACGTGCAGCAGCGTAGAATGACGTATGTGTGGAAGTGAAAGATATTGTGCAGCAGCGTAGCATGACCATTGATACCTAAAACAGCATTGAAACATTGTAAAGCCAACGTTAAAACAACATTAAAACCACATCAAAACAACGTTAAGCCAACATTAAAACAACATTAAAACAACATTAAAGCAACATTGAAACAGCATGAAAACAACCGTTCAGCAACATTGAGACAGCATTAAAACAGCATTAAAACAACGTTAAAACAACAGTGAAACAACATTGAAACAGCATTAAAACAACATTAAAACAACATTGAAACAACATTGAAACAACATTAAAGCAACACTGAAACAGCATCAAAACAGCATTAAAACAACATTGAGACAACATTAAAACAACATTAAAACAACATTAATACATCATTAAACCAACATTAAAACAACATTAAAACAACATTGAAACAGCATTGGGGCAACACTGAAACAGCATCAAAACAGCATTAAAACAACATTGAGACAACATTAAAACAACATTGAAGCAGCATTAAAACAACGTTCAAACAACATTGAAACAGAATCAAAACAGCATTAAAACAACATTGAAGCAGCATTAAAACAACAATAAGGCAACATTAATACAGCATTAAAGCAGCATTAAAACAACATTAAGACAACATTGAAACAACATTAAACCAACATTAAAACAACATTGAAACATTATTCGCCCAACGTTAAATCAACATTAAAACCACATCAACACAACGTTAAACCAACATTAAAACAACATTAGAACAACATTGAAACAGCATTAAAACAGCATTAAAACAACATTGAAGCGGCATTAAAACAACATTGAAACAACATTGAAGCAGAGTCAAAACAGCATTAAAACAACATTGAAACACCATTAAAACAACAATAAGACAACATTAATACAGCATTAAAGCAGCATTAAAACAACATTAAGACAACATTGAAACAACATTAAACCAACATTAAAACAACATTGAAACATTATTAACCCAACGTTAAAACAACATTAAAACCACATCAAAACAACGTTAAACCAACATTAAAACAACATTAAAACAACATTGAAACAGCATTAAAACAGCATTAAAACAACATTGAAACAATATTAATCAACATTAAGACAACCTTGAAACAACATTAAACCAACATTAAAACAAAATTAATACATCATTAAACCAACGTTAAAACAACATTAAAACCACATCAAAACAACGTTAAACCAACATTGAAACAACATTAAAAAAACATTGAAACAACATTAAAACACCATTAAAACAACATTGAAACAGTAATCAACCAGTGTCAAAACAACATTAAAACAACATTGAAAACATCATTATAGCAACATTAAAACAACATTAAAACAACATTGAAACAACATCAAAACAACATTTCAACAACATTGAAAACATCATTATAGCAACATTAAAACAACATTAAAACAACATTAAAACAACATTGAGGCATCATTATAACAACATTAAAACAACATTGAAGCAACATTAAAACAACATTGAAACAATTGTGTGCAAACTGTCTATTTGGGAGAGTCCGCGTGGGTTACGGTTGAGCCAGGCTGAGATTCAGAGAGAATCGCATCCCATCCCATCGCATCTAATATTGAATCCTTACGCCACTGCATAGTTTTCGTCCATTTTTTCGTTGTGCCCTTAAGATTCTTTCGGGCCCACAGTTTGTTTTTTCGGCATGACTTTCACTGTGGCTGCTGCAATTGTGGTTCCTGCGACCCTTTTGCACCGAGCCATCTTCTGGAGGTAGAGGCATCTCAGACATGTCCGCAGACAGGGCCACCAAAGCATTGCCACTTGCAAATGCAGGACTGATCCGGATGGCTGCATGGATTGGTCATCGGGTTGCGTACATTTGTGATGTATTGTGTTGTGATGTCCCATATGCATTGACTAGTGTCTTTTGTCACCATCTTTCCGACCATCAGATCTAGCCCATGAAACATAGGGAAACCCCCGTTTGCATAGTGTTGCGTAACGCTTCAGCCACCCATAGGGCAGCCCGAACCAGCCTTCCTGTTCACGGTGCCTGTCGCCTGATCCCCAGGGGCATCTACTCAGACGTGTGTAGTTCGAACTTGGACGAGAAGTCCGAACATGTCCGACTCGTCAAACTTTTGCAATTTTTGGAAGAGAACACCACCTTTTGTATACAATGTCAATTTGGTGTGGTAGATTTGTTTACGAACTGTTTGGGTGTCAGCAGTTTTAAACAACTCAGTTTCAATTCTTCAATTGTGTTGTGCATGGCCAATTTTCAAGGAAGACATGACACCGATTGCATCAAAGGCCAGAGCAAATATTCCCGAGCAGACCTATGGAGGCAATGTCCAGATCTTTTGCATGTTGCCCAAGGCCAAGCACAAGAATGATGAAAGAGATGAAACAATACCTTTAACAACTACAGATAACTACAGGAAGACCATAAAATCAATAATCAATAAAGAACAATAGCTTGATACTGCAACTAAAGTGTTGAGGAGTGGAAATAACAAGTCAAAGCTGTTGGACAAATTTGCCGCCGATGTTGATAGGATTTCTCAGAACGAAAGGTTGGCACCATTTGTTTTCTTTGATTCCATGTCCGTGGGTGTCTTCCCCGCTGGAATGAAAGAACAAATAGTGGAAAGAAATCATTTCGAGGGGTAGCTTGACCATCCTGAAATTGAGAAATGTCCACTTAAGGCCCATGAGGCCAGATTCCACAAAGCTTCATGCAAAGAAACGTAACGCAGTAAGCCATCCTCCCCGTTTGAACAAGAGGATACAAGAGGTGTAGACTCCAAGGAGTCAAAGACAAACAATCCGTTTTCAAGAGGCATTCGGCAGAAAAGATCGTGCTTTAAAATGACACCACGTGCAGAAATTGGGAAGTCAGCAAAAGGCAATAGACTGACAGTGAGACTTCTAGACAACTCCTTCGAACAAGAAAAAAACAACAGGTCTCAGAATCAAACTTCAAACGCTTTTCAGACAAAAACTCCGCGAAGAAAAACAAACAGACTAATAATGTTT